CATGAGTGATATGAACACTCCACTGCCTATGAAGAAACCATCGTGGTGGCTTACAAAGGTCAGACGCAGAAATTCGACCTAAGAGCTTATGTTTCTACAAAAGAAAGAAGGTAAAATAGCTACTTGATTCAGAGAAAAAAAACCAAAAGTACACAATCTTTAATGGTGGTAAAACTCATTGTCATAAGATCCTCTTGGTAAATTTCTTCATAAGCTCTTCTGATTTGTTGAATCTGATGAGAGTTTATATGACTCAAAATTATTATCTGATGAGAAGAAAGAAGAAGAGGAAAAGAGAAGGAGGAAGAAGAAGAAGAAGAGAGGAGTAGGAGACCAGAGAAGAGAGAAGAAGAGGAAAGGAGAGGCAACAGAAGATAGAAAGAAGGAAGAAAGAGAGAGAAAAATAGAGAGAGAGAGAGAGAGAGAGAGAGAGAGAGAGAGAGAGAGAGAGAGAGAGAGAGCAGAAAAGAGAAAAAAGCAGAAGAGGAAGAAATGAGAGATTGAAAGGTTCTGAAGGAAGGAGAGAGAAACGAGGAGAAGTTTTGGAAAGTGTGAAATGTAGTACAAAAAGTTGAATAAATTTTGTTGGTTTTCAACCAAATGAGAGCAAATTCGGTTAGTAAACCAAAATAATAAGTATAAAATTGCATAACCAAATAAAATACCAGTTTCAAGTGCTAGTTTGGTTGGAAAAAGTAAATTTTGGACCTAAATTGTCCCTAATTTGAGGATGTGGCAAAATCATAAGCAAGGGTAGATTAGAGTTTTCTAAAGTATTGAATTTTCTTATATTATAGATAATAGTTAACTATTTTGAAGATTAAGTTCTGTTATAATTCTTTAATGTTGGAGAAATCAAACTTACATCAGTATTTGACTTTTTTACCAAAATACCCCACTTTTTTTTATAAAAAAAATCCCCAAATAACCTACTTTTCAAATTATTTCCCAAATTACCCCAGTTTGGGGCACTGATGGGGTATAGGTGCCATATGAATTGGTGACCCCTTTGTAAGTTAAAGAGATGTCTCCAATTAGATTAGAGACACTACATGGTGTTGCCAATCCAATTGGCGACAGAGTGTTAGGTTTATAATGTTGTCACCAATTTATTTGGAGATAGGGTTTTAAGTGCAATTTTACCAGAAATAGAGGTGGTGTGATCATTTATTTTCACATATCTTCTCATATTCTTGTATTACTGATAACATGTATCGTCTCCGATACGGGAAAGTGATTTATTCGAGAGAGAAGCCTTCGATGGAGATGCTCTTCTGGAACATCCAAAGTTTCAAGCAACTATAGAGGGAACTCAAATCGTTGGTTAGACGGAGACATGCCTGAAGGGGAAAATTTTATAAGTATTGAGAGACATGATGCCTTGTGTGGGTGGGTTCATGTTTAGACTGACAAGGATGCGAGGGAAGTGATGTTTGGACCAAATGATATCAGTTTGATTGTTGTAATCAATTATAAATGTTGTATTTATTTGTTCTGATATTTGTTATATGTGTTGTTTGTTGTTAACTTTGTTGTAACAAAAAGTCATTAATATATCAAAATCTAAGGTTACAACAATTGAAAGGAGAAACTAAATTATGATGCAGAGGTTGCTCCAATATTGGGACAATTTTTCTGATTGTGTTCGGATTGTCGACATATACTACATAATCTTATTATTTTATCAGTCGTATCCATTTCAGCTCTTATACGCGTGATGTTTGGGAGACCTTTTTTCTTTCTTTGCATCTCATCGTTGTGCCAAAGTATGTCCCCTTGGTATGGAAGCCAATATTCCTCTATTGCTAGCACTACAAAGCCTTCTTTGTAGACATTCATAACGTTAATGGCCTTATAAACATCAGATAGATGGTTGTAATCGTCCTAACGAGCATGTGCGCCTGCCACAATGACATGGAAGAAAGGTACACGGAAGGCTTGATACTTGCCACAGTCACACCAACATCTGTTTATTTTGACAACATAGGATAAATTTGGCCTCCCCTCATTGTGGTTCATTGTTTTCTGTACATTGAAAGTTTGCATATGAGGGTCAAAGACTAAAACTGCATGTGTGCTGCCTTTGATGATTTCCTATTTCATCACTTTCATTATGCATTCATTGAATAATTGACCTGGCATTAACGATGTACCCCATCTTTCTCCTCTAGTTGTGAAAAGTGATGCCAACATATAATAGGTTGATCTCACTAATCCAGTGATCGGAAGGTTTTTAATTCCTTTGAAGACGTTGTTCATGGATTCCATAAGGTTTGTTGTCATGTGGCCCCAACGACATTCACCGTCAAATGCCCTTGTCAACTTGTCCAATGGAATGTTATCCAACCACCTTCCTGCATCTGCATTTGACAACCTAATTTCGTCATGGTAGTATTGAAATGATGGTTGAGTTAGAGCATACCCTGCATTCACAACTTTTTTGCGAAGGTTTTTCTCTTTGATTGCATGCATGAAGTTTTGTGCGATATGACTAATGCAATAGAAATGGGTAGAAGGAGGATTATGCCACCCGTTATCATGGTCATTGTAAGCACTCTTAATAGCAGCATGCCTATCTGAAATCAAACAGAGATTGACTTGTGGAGCCACATGTGTTATGAGATTCTTACAGAAGAAACTCTAACCAGCAGCGGTCTCACCTTCAACCAGAGAAAAGGCAATGTGAAAGACATTATTGTGGAGCCACATGTGTTATTTGTATAGCTCTCTGTGTAAAAATGCAACAAAAAACACATATACATTTTCTGGATGCACCGTTTTGCTCCAAGCATGGGGTTGGTCTAGATTGTCATCCCTAGTGTCCGTCAACCACAACAGCTTCTCATTCCCGTATGCACAAAAGTAAGTTAGTAACTTAATATTAGTTAATTCTCCTTACTAATTATTGTGTCTAACTAATTTATTTAAAAAAAATTTTGTTTAGATGGTCGGCTCGCGGTATGAGTTACAATAGATGTCCAAGACATTGTATCATTCAATATCACAATCTCTTGGATCACCTTACATTTGGAGATGTAAGGGCACTAAATGAATCAATTATTTTTTATATCACCCATTTTATGATCTAATATTTTTCTCTTCTACGGTTCATATCTAAACATGGAACACCTACATGAAGTCAAAGAGGAACGTGCAGCCGTTTCGACTGCATGTGTGTCGATCATCAGATTCACCACTATGGAGATGCACCATAGTGGCAATGTCCAACTACAGTTTGGAATGCATCAAAACATCCTAGATCCCCCGATAGATCTCGGTAAATGGCATATACAAAAAACTAGTGATCAATGGAACTATCCTGATTAGAAAGATTTTGCTAAATCTGACTGTCGTAAAAGGAGGAACCGTCGCACCCATGTCTTACGTGATCAGGTGATAGAAACCTCGTTTATATCAACTAATACTTATATGACCTGGTACAAATTGGTTGCAACTGGGTTTATCTCCGAAGTGAGGTATTTATACGACCCACGATAAACCACATACACACAAGAAGCTTCAACGTCTAATCCACAAGAAAATTATCGGACATGTTCCTCACAACCCCCTACCCAACAAAATTACTAACCCACAAACACACAAATCCACCATCCAAACATGTCAAACACCCAACCACAATACCAAGAGCGTCCCTCATACCATCTCCAACAAAATGACTATTATCAAGACATCCAAAATGCATATGCCCCCAACACGACATTAAAATATAGCCAAAATGTCCAAACATCATACCATAGCCACAACGGCCAAACATCTTTCCATAGACAAAATGCTCAAACATCACAGCATAGCCTACACACACAAACATCACAACAATCTTATGACTTTCAAACACCACTACCATTTCAACCTTTCACTAACAAAGTCTTCACACCAATGTCTCCCCCTTCAATCATTCAGGCTACATACCAATGACTCATTCATCACATCCCAAGTACTCTGGCATGGGTCACGAGCTCAGTTTCAACACACAAGACTTCTTAAAAATGCAAGAATTCCTTAGTTTTGCTGGAGATGTTCCTGAGACCTCAAATCCTCAAATATTTGAAGTGAATCAACAACGAGGACAATAAGTGTGAGTGTCTAGGAGATGTGGAATCGGTGGCCGGTATGACCAACCCGTTCGCCAATATTAATTTATGTAATATTATTTTTAATTAAATATTATTGTTACTTATTTATATTAAAAAATTGTATTTTGCACCCTATCTCCAAATGGTGACAATATTATAAAACTAACACTCTATCTATCGCCAATTGTATTAACAACACCATGTGGTGTCTTCAATCCAATTGACGATATCTCTTTAACTTATAATAATGTCGCAATTTCATTTGGTACATACACTCTATCGGTATCCTAAAATAGAGTACTTTAAAAAATAATTTAAAAAATGAATTATTTTATGTGTTTTTTATTTTTAAAAAATGGAATATTTGGATAAAAAATTCTCAATATTTAACTCAATTTTTTTTTTCCTCAGCACCAATTTTCGGTTTCTTGAAACGTGTCCTGAAACCACACTCCTTCTAAGACCACGCATAGATAATCCTTATCTCTAATATTCCTCCAATTTGCATTTCACAAAGCTGCTTTTGAGATGTTCGATGAAATGCAGCAGTTAAATAAATCACTAACGATCATGTGTTTTTTGTAAGTAAACTTTGTAACATTTTTGTTCTATTCAATTTCATTGTAAATTTCGTGTTTTTGTAATAGTTGTAGTAACACATCAAGTAAGATATTTAGTTACATGACTTGATGAAATCACATTTATGGTCTATAAAAGAGAAACTGATATTTAGTTACATGAAAAATGATGTGGAATCAAATATAATATTGAGCACAAGAAACTTTGTAAAGTAGCATAATTTTCATTTATTTTAACTCTTATATCCAAACATAGCCCACTTACTTATACAGACCGAAGGTTTCTTTTGGACACATTGCCTAAGGTTTCAGTGTCTTCTTGTGAAACTCATGTGACATTCAAAGGATGATAAACAAAAGGCAACAATAAAAGATCATCTTTTCTTCTCACAGTGACTCCAAATTGCTCAGTCATGTCCAGTTCTTCACTTTTGGTTCCACTGGGAAGCTTCCAGTCAAAATGATACAACAGCATTGCAAGGGCTAGCTCAATATTTCTCAAACCGAATGTGATCCCCGGGCATATTCGTCTCCCAGAACCAAAAGGAATGTACTCAAAATTACTCCCTTTATAGTCAATAGCGCTGCCAATGAATCTCTCCGGGTAAAACCTCTCTGGCTCAGTCCAGTAGTTTGGATCTCTTGCAATTGCCCATGCGTTGATTATCACCTTAGTCTTCATCGGTATGTGAAAGCCGTTTATCTCACATGCTTGACCACATTCTCTTGGTAGCAAAAGAGGTGCTGGAGGGTGTAGCCTTAATGTTTCTTTGACAACTGATTTCAAATAATCGAGTTCGTTGATGGAATTTTCGTCAACCCTTCCTTTTGTTTCGAAAGCCTCTCGTACCTCAGCTTGTGCTTTCTTCATTATTCTTGGATCCCTTATCATTTCTACCATTGCCCAATCTATGGTGCTTGTTGATGTCTCACTTCCAGCCCCGAAAATGTCCTGAAAAGTCGCTATCAACATGTTCAAGCATATCCAATAATATTTAAAGAGATATTCATGTAGTGATAGAGAGAATTCAAAAACACTAATAAGCTTACCATGATTATTGCTTTGATATTGTTTTTTGTTAAGGAAAAATCCTTGTTGCTACCATCCTCATATTTTAAGAGAACGTCTACCAGATCTTCTTCTTCCGGATCGCCTTGATCATCTTTGGCTTTTGAGTAAGTTTCCCCTTTATGCTCATTGATAATGTTTTCAAATATCTGATCAGTTTGTCGCTGATAACTCTCAAGCTTAGGCCTCAAACCAGTAACAAGTTGTATCCATTTAGCAGAAGGAAACAAATCTCCCAAGTCAAAACCTGCCGAAACCTTTATAGATTCTTTCACCACTGATATAAATTTTTCCTGGTCTTTGCATTTATTTCCAAACGCAGACTTCGAAACAAGGCTGTATATTGTAGAAATCACAGCTTCTGTGAGATTGATTGGCGATCCATTCCGCGAAGCAATCCATTTGACAAGATCGGAGAGCACCTCTTCTCTAATTGGTTGCAACGAGTTTACCTGTTTCAGGCTTAAAAGCTCCGAGGTGCATATTTTTCGTAACTGTCTCCAATAACTACCATAAGGAGCAAAAGCTATATTTGTAGAATTGTAAGACATAATTTCTGAAGCTAGGAGATGAGGCCTTGACGCGAAGTTAAGATCATGGGTTTTCATCACCTCTTTGGCACATTCGGGCGATGAAATGACAATAGTAGAAACCTCTCCAAGTTGAAGATGCATCACAGGTCCATATTTGTCTGCCAAGTCTCTTAATCTCCGATGGGGTTGAGAGCTTAACAGATTGTGTATATTTCCTATAATCGGTAGCTTTCTAGGTCCTCGCGGTAAGTTATAAGTCGAGTACCTTTTCTTCTGTCTTATCTTTTGTACTATAAGGACTAAGAGAACAAAGGAGAAAAAATATGCAGAGTAGAGGACTAGTAGAGCCATGGCAAATATGAACCATATCTTTCTAGCTAGTGTCTATATATATTCATCATATATTCATTGTGCATTGTCATCATCTTCTATTTCCAATATGTTTAATATGATTTCTTTTCATGTTTGGCTTCTTCTCCAAAACGGATCTATATCTGCAATTTAAGCGGCTGAAGATGACTTATTAGTACAAATGTAAAGGTCCCGTTGAGTTCAATGAAATCACTGTCTTGTCTAAAGAGAAGAGTTTGAAAATGATGTCCTTGTCGAATTATATAACCGACAAATTTGGAAGGAACAAGATAAGTTTTGAAAGGTTACTAAACTTTTGTATCCTTACTTTCTAGAATATTATATTGTCACCATCCTTGTTCTATACAGCCGGCCAAAAAAAATGTGTGATGATTAAACAAATTTAACAAAGCTAATTTATTTATTTATTCATCATAAATGTTTTGACACGTCTTTAACTTTTTTTAGAAGTGTGAGAAATGTTGATGTATAAGGTTTGCATTTGCTACTCTTCTTGAGCATCTTTAATTAGTTAACAAAAAATTTCTTGTTTGCTTGCCTCAAATATTTGCCACCTATAGTTAACAACAACAAAATTTCTGCAAGTTTGTTTTTGATTAAAGTTGTGTTACCATAGTCCATTCCAATTAGATTTGCTTGGATGTAGTGACACCATTCTCTCTCAAGTGTTTGAAAACAATCTTTTCAAAGTAAGCCTATGAACGGACAAAACACAATATTTAAGTTGATTGTCACTCTATTCGAAAAGTCTATAATAGAAAAGTCATCGATCTACTACATGTCTCAACATAGAGAAGTCTATGAACGGACAACCTAACATTTTCACTAAAACCATGACACGTTAGCGACCCAATTTTTTACTTGGCAAATTGATACTTGTAGATTTACAAGTTATTAATTTGAGGGGGAATATCAACATAATTATTGGCAATAATTAATTAATTATTGGAAATAATTTTGTTTAAATTGCACATTTATTTGTAATACTCATTCTCTTAATTAGCATAATTAACTATAAATGTATATATGACGGTTTAGTTAATTTAGTGGGTTGAAAGTCAACCGGACAGGTTGTAACTATTGTATTTACATGAAAAATTAGAATGAAAAGAAGTATAATTTGTGACCAAATTTTTTCTTAGTTAACACATTCCTTTAGTTATTAGACCTGCAAGATTGTCTTGAATAGAGAGATATATGAAGTGCAAGTAAGATCAATGTTTAACTTTTTTTTATAAAGTTTTGTCCAATTCAATATGTTTGATTCTATCCTGGATTTTGAACCATGTTAATAGTAAATTTATTATCACAATAAAATCTTAATTATTTAACACTCTTTATTTTTAAATTTTTAAAGATCTTTTCAGCCATACGTGCTTGCATATTTTCTATGACATTGTCTTGAACTCTGATTTAGCACTAGATCTATATATCACACTTTGTTTTGTATTCTTTAGATTTAAAAGATTCCACTAAAAAAAATGAAATATCTTGTATTTGATCTCCTACCCACAATTGATCTCCTATAGTCAATGTTGTTGACTATAGCAAATGTGAGTAATATAGGTAATAGTCTCATATTACTTAGAAATGTGGAGAGTTGATCATTTATAAGTGGGTTAATCCATACAACTATGACCTTAAGGTATTGGATGAATATATGGTGTGTCTCTCACAAAGGTGTTGCTCTAGAAAAAGAAAAGTCTCACAATGTTCAATGCTCCCTAGTTGAAAAACTTTCCCAACAGTGGTATCATGAGTCTTTGGTTCGAGGAAGAAACCGACTCACTTGTATCGAAAGCATCCCCACAGTTCGTGGGTAGAGTGTGTCATTGAAGAGTATCAAAGACGGTACAAGTATATGTGGAAGTAGAAAAGAGCTTTCGATTAAGGGGGAGGATTGTGGATAGACTCCACTTAGGGGGAGTGTTGAGTATAGAAAGTGTGAGTAGTATGGGTGATAGTCCCATATTGGCTAGAAATGTGGATACTTGAGCATTTATAAGTGGGAGAATACATACACCAGTCACCTTAAGGTGTTGCTGAATATGTGGTGTGTCTCTCACAAAAATGTTGCTCTATAAAGAAAATCTAAAGTATCCTCACAGACGGTGGATTGAGTGTCCCGTTGAAGAGTGTTAATGGCGGTACAAGTGTATAGACTCCATTTAAGGGGGAGCATTGTGGATAGACTCAAGCATTGTGGATAGACTCACACTTGAGAGGGAGTATATAGACTCCACTTAAGGGGGAGCATTGTGGATAGACTCACACTTGAGGGGGAGTATATAGACTCACACTTGAGGGGGAGTGTTGAGTATAGCAAGTGTGAGTAGTATGAGTAATAGTCTCACATTGACTAGAAATGTGAAGAATTGAACATTTATCAATATGATTAAGCACATAACTTGTAAATATTATATATATATATATATATATATATATATATATATATATATATATATATATATATATATATATATATATATATATATATATATATATATATAAAAGTTTAATGATTAATCTTTGATACATTTTCTTATCGGTTGTAAAAAAAAAAATCAGTGTTTCTTTCTATGTATATTCATTTACACCATACAAGTTTCTTTTTATTTGATAAAGAGGTTAATTTTCAAATATTGGTCTTTTTCGTTGCCTCCATCTCAAAGTCTATGACTTGTTTCAATTTTTTCTAACAATGCTTCCTAAATATTCTAGGAGTGAGATTAATAATGGTGGACACATGGAGGTAGAATGGGGATAAGATTTCTATAGGAGTCTTGGAGACAATGACAATAAAAGGTAAATAACTTATAAGATATGATGCAGTTAAAAACAACTTATTCCAATATTTTTTAGGGAACTTTTTTTGGAATATCATATTACATGTTTGGTCTTACGAGTGCTTGGCTTTTCTTTCAACAATTTCATTAATGGTACCTTTTTGACAAAATTATTAAGATTATAATTAAAGTAATCTTTGGCATTACAAAACCTAATTCTCTTCATACTCATACCAAAAGGATTTTTAACTATAGAGAAGAAGCGGAGAAATACAAAATTAACTTTGAGTTTTTGTTTTAATATGTAGATTCAAGTAACCCAAGTGCAATCATCAATAGAAATACAATGCAATAGTCACATGACATGTTTGGAACATTCGATGGACCTCATATAAAAGTATGAATCAAACAAAATGGAAATACTAATTTATTGTTGATTGGATAAAAGACACACTCATATTTTGCAAGTTAACATACGTCACAACAAACTCTTCTCATCTAAAGTTTTTAGAAAATGAAGAAAATAATTGTTTTAGGATTGTAATGAAGGATGACCAAGAGAACAATGGTACCGATGAACATTTTTCTTGTTGATCTTAATTAATTTAGAAAAAAAATAGTTGTTGTTGAAAACAAAAACGAAGATGGAGGTTAATTCATAATGAGAGATTCTACATTGACATGTTGGTGTAAGCCCTAGATGACAATAGGTTTATTAAAACTTGAATATAACTTTTCAATATAATTGACACATAAATTTTTAATGGTTAACAACTCAAGTTGGATATAATATCCAATTATTTTAAGAAGGTAGATAAAAATTCACGCATTATTAATTAATTTTAAGAAATTAGATAGATTTTAATTTTGTTGAAAACTAAAAAAAAAGGCAACAACTTATAACAAAAGAGAATGATGATAAATTTTTTAAAGAAGAAGATTTATTCTATAATAAAAGAGACGGTTCTCGTCTCTAAAATTGTGAGAAATCATTGTGTTTCTCTAAATCAAAGGTGGCGTTTATACTAAATATGAATTGAGGCTTCAATTTTGATAACCAATGGATAACTCTACATTTTTTTATCTCAATTTTTGATGTCATAGTTGCCTATGATATATATTGTGTATAAATATCATAGTTGCTGAGTGTTTTACTAACTCAAGCACATTCAGAAAATTTCTTCTACTTTCATAAGGTATCAGAGATCCTAATCTAGGGGACTCTACTTCTGCAAATCACTATTTAGAGATCTGACTGGGCTTCTTTTTTTTTTTTGCTGTCAGAATCCTTAAATCTTGACTGGGCATCACTTGCTGACCGGTAAATTAGTAAGTGTACTAATTGTACCGATGTAGTAATAAGGGGAAATTCCCCGAATATCGATCTCGCGGACTGCGTATGAACACAAGTTCTAAAATAATACAATTGAACAAAAAGTCATAAGGGTTTTGGTTTGTTTCTTACAATTTTAAAGGCCAAAAGGCAAAAACAGTAAAATAAAGGTTTTAGACAGTTATGAGAAACATGCTAGAGTAGGGTGTATGAAAAAACCTTGTAATAACCTTAATCCTTATTTTTAAGAAATCACTGCTCAATTCAATCGTTACCGGTTTTAAAGATTAGTTGACTCTAATTCCTTAGTAGAAAACCCTTTGGTATTCTTCCTATGCCCCAATTCCTTGGCGGTATAGGAACAATTCCAAGCAATATATTTTATCTAAAACATTACGGTTACTATAGGGTATCCCCATTCCTAGGCAATATCTACTATAAGTATTATCGTATAAACGCGTTAACGATCGTTTTTCCAAACCTAAGATTAACCGTAAAACAAATCCTTATTTGTCAAATAAGAAAAGCCATAAGAAAATTATACAATAACAACGATGATTAGAAAGTAGTGAAATCCATTATTCAAAAGAAACAAGGTTATTACAGAGTCAATTCAGGGACACCCCCTAGCATTGGGGGGTTTAGCTACTCATAATAATAAAGATAAAATCAACAATAAGACTAAACATTACAAGATAATTGGTTGCCTTGATCTTCAACCGCTTCCGCTCATGAGGACCTTCAGTTTCCCAAATCCTTGATCGCTCCAATCTTTCTCGTCCAATTTATTTTCCGTTCCTGGTTCAATCCTTATTCTTTCTCCAAACACGTATCAAATAGTCTCAATTCAAACTCATCAC